CGGATCTCTCCTCTACATTCAGGTCGCACATGTGGGTTCGAACCTAGCTTTAGAAATATCAGAGCAATCAAATTAAATGACACCGAATGGAAATTGCATATAATTTGGGCCAACCCGCATGTTTTTACTACTACTGAGTGATTTCATTTCACATATTTACTACAGTTTGCAACACATGCGAGAAGAAATCCGCGGACGAGGTAAGAAGGAAGTACTTTTTTTTTTAAAAATTCGATTTTATTCACCAGTATAGTCTTCTTCAAAAGTGATATAATCAGTGCAAAATTTCCCTAAAATATCGGCTCCAAAAGTACGTTTCAGCTTCTGGCGCAGATGATGGCACAGTCTGGATGAAAGGGAAATACACTTCTTTTCGATAGCTTTACGATATCAACTAACTATTACAGCTTCACTCCCCGATTATCGCGGATAATTTTCAACATTTTCAGTATGTTTTCAACCGCAATCATCTCTATTGAAAATTCACTGCCTTCGGCATCATTCGCGTACATACGTCTTGATTGGAAATCAACGAACTACGAACAACATGAGATATGAAAATGCCATGAAAGACACCGTAAGTGGGTATGCCTTTCTTAAATATGGTATGGATTTGTTTTTTATTTAAATACTAACGCAAATTGGATGATGTGTTATATTGTGTGCTCAAAGGGTTGATATTACACCGATTGAATTTTGTCTGTACAATTATTCGGTAGGGCGGAGATTCATCGATGAAGTACTCCCCTCGCTCCGCCAACTAAGCGAGAAAAAATGAATCGAAAGTTCAATATGTCTTGGTTTGTAAACGGTTCACTCTATGCCTAATATCCGTACGAAAATGCGAGAAATTTTATATGATATTGTTTACGAGTTCACAAGTGAACCATCGTAAACGCCTTCTTTTCCATTCGAACGTTAATCAAATTAATCAAAGGTTTCATCAACTTAGTGCACTATTTATAAAATTAACATAGGTCGGGCCTAACCTCAAAGTCAACCACTTTAGGACACTTAAAGAAACTTGATACGGCGAAAAACTTTGGGTTGCCCTATAATAAACACACCTATATAGAAACACCGTTTCACAAAGAAGTTAAGCACGAAACACAATTTGGTCACCCTAGTAACGACTATTATAATAGGCAAATGTAAAGATATCTGCATTAAAAGAATAACCGTCGAGTTGAGCGATCAATTGACAGTTTGTGTAGACAGGCGAACACATAAACGAGCGAACAAGCAAACAAGCAGATCCTAACTGTGTTCGACTAATATTTCTTGCATAGTCCTTAACATATAAAACGAGCAAAAAAAAAAAAAAAATTGAAGCTTGAAATATATGAAATTTAATAATATCAGCAATAACTTTGAACAAACAGACGCACATTTCTTATACAGAAAAAAAAAAAATGGAAAAAAAGAATTATTTCTAGAAGCATGCAAGACTTATGCACAATTTTACCAAAGGATAAAGTCTAGGTAGAGCCTTAACCTTTTCACTAACAACTTTAACAGCAATAATTATGCAGCTGTTGTTTGTTGTAAATTATTACGAAGACTCGTTTGAAGAGTCTGCTATGTGCGTTTGAATGTCGGTTGTATTTATATAATAGGCATCTTACTGTACTTCCGTTTCCTCATATGTTTTATACATATATATACATATAAACATATAAACAAACATAACATTTCAACTTTTAAATAATAGAATATCTCTTATATAAAAAGTCTGTAATGGGAGAGAAGGGACGAAACTCTACCTTTTCAAATGCACGGAATAAATAATCCATCCTTCTTCTTCTTCTTCTCTTTATTTCATGATGCAGAAATATTTTGTCGGCTTAAAGGAAAGAATGCGAAGTCAATGTAAAGATAATTTGATATTTTTATTTTCAGTGCTGTATCTTTCTTCCAAGAATTCAAAAGATTTCCTGAAGATAAATGCACAGAACATTTAACTTAAACATTGCTGTAGTGCAAGGTATAGAAATAAGTCCTGACCGAAAAGTACAAAATACTTTATTGAAAGTATCATCTGTCTCTAACTATTTTTCATATAATTTTTTCTCGATTTCTCTGACAGAATACGAATGACAGAATTGCATATGGAAGGGGCAACACTCTGTTTCTGATTTACTAAGCAATCAGTCTTCTCTTCTACATTCTCATTTTTATAAGAGAAACACTACTCAGCATCAACAATAATTTTGCGACTAAAATGGATATTAAGCAAAGCTATAAATGTCTAGCAAATGCAAAAGAAGGGACAACACCTCGTCCTCGGGCGCTGAGAAATTTACCTATAAAATCATTTTACGAATGGGATTCGTTCTTCCTTTAATGATCGATTATTTTGCTTGGATGATTTTGCTGAACTTGCGCTATTCATAGCCCACTAAATCCAAGTAATTCGACTAAATGGCGTTGAGTTAAGAATATTGCTGTTCACTTTCACTGGACAGTTCATGCCAAACAAATTTTGGCTTTGTAAGTACTCATAAATTCAGTATAATCATCTTTCAGAAAAACCAGTAACAACTTATTTATACATCTTACATTATTCAACTATGTGTAAGGTTTGTGTATATAACAAATAAACTGGAGGAATTAAAGGAAAAAAAAGCCAAGTGAACAAATCTGTTTAAAAGAATGCAGCAGACAATGTTTTGTAGGGAAGAGAGTCAAACTGTAGTACCTACAGACACCTTAGTTTAACGGCCTTTGCATGGCAAGCTCCCAATGCGAAATACAAGCAACATTTCGAGTCTGTCAAGCAATGAAAACAACTTAAGCGATTAACAGCATACTTCTAAAAGACAAATATTCAAAGATATGCTGTGCAGTTGAATTGCGTTTTGTTTTTTTTTTTTCTCTTTCTCTTGTTGTTTGCAGGCTTCATTACCGTTTACTTAATAGTATAAACGAAACCGAGCAAAAAAAAATATCGCCACAAAACTTTAAGATTTTTCGTCTACTTTTAAATTATTGAATGTCGTAAAATTATTCTCTTTAGTATTTCCGACTATTTCCAAGACTAAGCGAATACTGCTCAAACATCAAAAGAAAAAAGAGGAACAAAGTGATTAATATGAAATCTTGAAAAGGATAACAACCAAGGAACCAATAAGCATTCGTTGTTAACCGCAATTATATTCCAAAGGTATTAAAGAAATGGATTTTTACTGCTACGGCCACCAATCAGAAAGACGTATAACCAGACAGACAGATAACTCGACAGAAGGACAACAAGACAGGTGGACAACCATGCAGACGGATCGACGAACACTGTTAAGTCGATTCGGTTAAATTTGGTAGTCATCAAGAATATATATATATCCCATGTGTAGTCTCTCAAGTTTCAGTCTGGGTCTTACGAAAATTTTAATAAAATGAGTATGTCCCTTTCCTTCAGTGGCAGGTATAAAAATGTCCCCACTTGTACTCAAAGCTACTCCCATTCAATATTGTTAAGTACGAAAATTCATTTTCTCGCTATATTTCTCGGCATATTCGCATATAATATTTTTACTTGTTTAATTGTATTCCATGATATTTATTCTAATATTGTGTGATCTTTCAAATTATCATAACATTTAACCGTGGAACAGACACATATTTTAGCCATACCTGCAAATTATCAAAACTCCCGTTCGGTAATGGCAATCTAAGTGCACTAGCATCAATCTACGATCATTACAATCGTCTCAATAAGAGCACATTTATATACGTTTGTGTCAAGGTCAACCCAATCAATTTTTCCATTACATCAGTACAGTTTGACAAGATTGACCCTTTAACTAAACCAGTAATCCAAAATCTTAAATGCAAAACGGGTTATGCCCATAAAGCTTGATTGCTTACTGCACAACTTTATTTGTAGAACCATTCACTTGAAGAGTACTTGCTACGAATGAAAGTAAATTGCGTCCGTCAAACACAACCGTTGCTACTCAGTTTCTAGCTAATCGGTCATGCTATCTGAAGAGAAGCTCTTTGCACTTTAAGGCCCCATATCCCTCAAATTATTTAATTTGCTGATTTTATTGTCATACTCACGATGCAGCATATCGTAATTTTACTTTAAAAAATTCGTCATAGATATTGATTTTGATTTTCAATTGAAACTTTTTGAACCGTAAAATTTCATTTAAAAACTTATTTCATTTATAACTGAATAAACTTGCTTAGAAATGAAAAGCAATTATTCAAAAAACTTTGCAGTTGTCCTTGGAGTTGGTCACATCATACAAAACAAGTGAAAAGGTGTGGCAAGCTGAGGAGAAGAGAAAAAAAAAATCAAACACACTACCAGCATGAAAAAGTAATAGAAATAAGTTTTCGTGGTCCAGGACGTAGCGACCAATGGCATCTGTTTTCATTAATATTACGGTAATGTGATGAAAATACTCCTCAAGCGAAGAAAAAAAAAAATATAAATAGCGCTTGCATTACGTTGTCTACTTACTTTTCGATTTGAACTTTTTCAGTTAATCGAACGCAATTGAACACCTTACCCAGTATTTTATTATAATGCACTTTCAAATGAACATCATATCTAATCAACACTCAATGCCTGCAAATGTTTGCTCAAACTTGAATTATTATTAATAAATGCTCGATGTTGACGGTGAGCTTAACGTTAGTCTGCTATTGTCTATGACCCAGTATTCAGGATCCATTGAATAAGACCTTTGATTCTTCAGCCGCTGTTCCTCAGATCACACAAATTTTCCAGCTTTGCCGGCATATTCGAGAGGCAGCATATCCTTTGGCAAACATTCATAAAATGTATCGTCAGCCGATAAATGAGAACGCATCTAAAAATAGTAACAAACTGGGAAAGCTATTGGTAATTGGTATTTTAAAAAGCTTTATCAAAACTTACTAACTGCGTAATTTCGCTTTGAAGAAGCCACTTCAACAGTCGCATTACTTTACCTATAAACGGTGGAGAATTTAAATAATGTATGCTTTTCATTCTCACTGGAAGCGCATCTTGTGTGAGTGCTGTTATTATACGGAGATCGCGCCATGACATGTTAGCCACATGACCCCGAGTACATTCGTACATATCGAAAGCTGGTATATCACCCTCAGATATTCCTTCATCGTCGCAAATGAAACGCTGGTCATGACTAAACACTTGGCACTGTCTATAAAGTTGAACTGGAAGGGATTAGCGTCACAAAAACCAAGACAAAAAAAAAAGAAAACTCAGACAAATTTGACAAAAAAAATATGTAAGAGCACCACTAAGCAGACGCATATAGCTTTACCTTGTCGATATTAGAATCTCGAGAGCGGTGAAATACCACAGAGCAATTATCTTTTGTTAAACCGGGTAACGGTATGATATCCTTTAATATTAAAAAACACAATACAATCGTTTTAATTCAATGTATTTTGCCTTTGGTTTGCAGTATTTTCCTATGTACTTACCATAATTTGAAACACTGCTCCGAACCGTTATCCAAGGGATCACGTTGTAATAAACGTTTCGCCTTCTCAAGGTCATCATTGACGACATCGATGAAACGCTTTAATATAGGTTTGTCTAAAGCAAGAAAAAACGAGTAAGAACATTATAGTCGGACAAGCCGACCATTAAATACCTTAAACGGCACTTTTTCTTATATAACAGAAAAATTATATCCGATCCTTTTTTAATACCGTTCGTCCTTAGGTCAAAATACGACACTGTACCAAGTGGCATCAAAATATCTCAAAAATTGCGACCTGTAGCTTGAACACATTTTTACATGGACAGACATTTCAATCGATCGGAATAATAAAAGCTAGGTCTACCTTCAGCCCTTCGACGTGTTACATACGTTCGCACTAAATTAATGTACCCTGTACCACAAGGGGACTACGGTATAAACACAAAAATAATAAGAAATTTATTGAATTTAATCGAATTCAATCTCAAGAAAGAATTGAGCCTTTGAAAATCTAAATGGAAAATAGACCTGAAACCTTTGGGAAATATGCTAACGCCCCATTATGCCTGATGATGTCAGCTCAGTTTTTTAGGAAATTTATAATCCAGTCGCTGTAAAATTTCCATTGTCAGGTCTTTGAACCTCTTTTGTTCTTCTCTTTTTACACGCACCACTTGGAAGATGGGTATGGCATATTCATTTTGCTTTTTTCGACAATGTATGTAACACCCAAAAGTAAACTTCAGAGATCCTATAAAGCATATATATATTCTTGATCGGCGTGAAGTTCTGAATTGATTTAGCCATGTCTGTCCGTCTTTGTAGTGTTTGTTCTTCGCACTGTCCTGTTCGCATAAATGAAGATATCGACTTCAAATTTGATAGAAACCTTGGAAATCTTTGCACGTAGGTTGGTAACGAAAACGGAACAAATTGGTCTGAGTATAAGCCCACAGTGAAGCATAAACTGAACGCAACTCCTTTACTCGTAACAAAAATTTTTGTGGGTTTTTGCTCGTTATTCAGATATTATAAAAGCTAGAAGGCTGAAATTTCCCTCATTTACTTTGCGAAACGCTCTACGCGTTCCGTGCAAAAATGCTAAAAAGCGAGCATGCCCATGACACAAGCGATTAAATGGTTTTTTCTTCACTTTTTTGAGATTTTATGCTTGTTTATGATGACGCAAACAAAACAGAATTAGTTATAAAATTAGTTTGTACATTTTTTAAATGAGCACGTATTATCTCCCTAAAAATGGGTTAGTTCTAAAATCTCCTCTTTTTCAAAATCATATGAACTAAGTATATAAGAATTGAACGGTAACGTCCAAAACATCGACTACAACGCAAAGAGAAAGAGAACATGCACTGCAATAAAACTAATAACAATAAATCAACGGAGAACTGTGGGAAATAATATGCTACGCAGCAGTAACAGAGAAACATCAAACATTAAAGAAAACGTGGCAGACGTGGGACAGTCTAATTGCAGATTTATCAAATTACGCTAATTAAAAAAGGAAAAACCGACACATCAAAGACTAATCAAAGGCTATCCTAAACTAATTGTAAACTTTATTTAGGATCATACAAAGTACCTTGTGTTCGCAATGAGCCCTTTTTAATCCAACCTGGCGAATCAGTCGATTCGTTTAATACTTAAGAAGAAGAAGAAGAAGAAGAAGAGAGTATTTCGACTACGCGCGTTGCGAATCAAATTAGTACAGCAGCGATACATGTTGGTAGCACTGTCAATAATATCCGCGTCGATTGAAGATAGTTACGACGATTACATTCACTTAGAGTGCACTCCACTTGGCGAAGACACGAATCGTACCTTTGCGGACACGACATTTTTCAAAGGCGAGAATAATGCCGGCAAAACATTGCAAAGATCGAAAGAAAACCTACTGATGACGATACTATATGTCACAACTGCCAATTTATGAATTGTACAAACGGTTTCAAGAAGAAGCACAGAAACCTTCAAAATGATACGATGAGCCGATCTTTAATGAAAGCGTACAAAAAATGGAAGACATTGTGTTAAAATAGTTACTGAAGCAAAACGAATGAAAAAGGACAAATCATTCGGAGAAAGAGAGACAGAGAGAGAAAGCGAGAGAGAGCGAGACAGAGGTGGAATAATAAAGAATTGCCCAATTTTGAATATCCTTAGTGAAATATTGCCATAATGTCGCCATTACACCATTCGAAACGACATACAAAAGATGTCGAGAGATCACCATTAAATATTCGTTATCATAAACAATATTTGGTTTATTCCTTGCAAAAGAGAACACATACACATGAAAACAGTACAAAGCGCATTTTTCGACTCGCACTTTCTTGCCTTTTTTTTTATATTTATATAGCGTCTCGCTTGCCATAGTAATTGCAACAGTAGCAACGTGATCAACAGATCCGCTACATAATGAAGAAAATTGTCATCTTACGAGTTCTCAACTCAAATTAGTCGCGGTTTTACTTAAATTATTTTTGAAATTCACGTAACATGTAAACAAATTCTTCGGCTAGCGTGACTTTGTCCCTGTACATTGTATTCAGATTTCTCTCTGCTTTCAATTTTCCCATTATATTGAATGCTATTGTTAACGCCCTTACGAAGGGCATCAATTTTTAAATAACTTCTCGTAAACTTAATCAACAATTATTTAGCAGACGAACACATATCCACACCAACTACTCAGGACGCAGAATTATTATAATGCAATGCGAAGAGCTTAGGTAACTCTCTTTGCTTATATATGTTGCTTATGTATCGTTGCAAATCAAATTTACTCTTATCTACTAAATTGTGGTCAACAACAATACAATTGCAATAAATTTACAAAACGTGTCTAAAAAATCGAAAAAAGCCAAAAAAAAAAAAAAGGAAATAAAGCAAATGCGATTTTGTATGTTTGTAGGTTAAAAATAGTTGTTCTTGTTTCTCTCCTTTTTTTTTCATGCACATAAAAGCACAAAAACAAACGAGCGCACACATTTACACACACTTTGTTGATTATTGCACGACACACAAATGAAGAATGTCAAGATACTTGAATCATTGTTGCTTTTCCTCTGTTATGCACCTCCAGTGATTTAAGGCTCTGTGCAGAGATTGCATAAATGTGTGCATAAATGCGCGCACACACACATATACACACGCACGCACATTCGAATGTAGTTTTGGCTCGATTGCAATTTGTTGGATCATTGCATACCTCACATGTACTAACATACAAGTTTATTGACTTTTAAACATAACATGTAAACAAATTATTGCGATTTCATAGCAAAGGTGCAATGGATGGTTGTAGTAGAAATAAAGTTACAAAAAAGTATGTATACAATATATGCATGTTCGAGTGTGAATGAATTGTTTTTTAACTACAGCCAACAATACATTGTCTTCCATGCATCTAACGAGCGACTAGCCTTACAACTTTAATTAAAATATCGAATTACATTGTTACGCCCATCGTCCGAAGGTAGGAGTGCACTAGATGTTTGACTTGCTTTGTATTTACAAAGTTTAGTTGGCTTTTTACATTCGCTTCTCAGCATCTGTCTCTAATCAAGTTGAAAAACTCAAGATCTTACTGCCCGTATGTTCTTCAATCTTACAAGCGCTGCAATAATAGCCAAAAATACGGAAAAATTCGATATTTTCTAATTTTCAATAAAAAGTAAACAAGCTTCAGGCGAACAAACCTCAATTTCAAATACTAAGCGTTAGAAGTAAATCATGATCGGTTCTTCTTAAAATCAAAAAAAAAATAAATAAATAAATAAATAAATAAAAACCTTATATTAGGGCAGAAGCAACTATTCAATACCCTATACAACTTCGCCTGATAAACTCATTCATTCATTTTCATGACAATACACCAAAAATTATACATTGCTTTTATACGAAGGCTCGCTTTCCATGAGAGCCCCCATATAATCCAGCTTAATTCACTTGTCGAAGACAAATGTATTATTTTCCAGTTGTTTTCCTCGAAAAAACTGCAAATTAGATTTTGTGTTTACATGGAAACGCTTGATTTCATGAGAACTTCTGAAAGTAATTTAGTTTGAAAAAAAGGCCTATCTGATCCAAATTACCTACGGTTAATTCTTATGTTAAATCGTCAAATATTATATCTCCTTTTTTATTTTATATTAAAAATTAGACCTTTTTGGCATATAAGACCTACTTGATCCGCATTTGATGCAGTTAAGTTTTACACCAAACTACTCCTACGAACCAATTTTCATCATTACATATCAAAAATTGGACTTTTTGCCTTATAAGTATTTGTTATGCATTAAAACCCTTATATGCAATGGGATCAAAAAAATAGACTTACGTGGCCCACGATGAATCTTCATCAAGCAACGTTGAAAATTAGGTGTTCAGTTTTTTTAGGGATGTTTATATGACAGAAGTTCAAAAATTGCTCCATCCGAACGGAAGGTTTCATTCCAATTTAATATGCCGAAATACTCGTACTCGATTGTCGCGAAATCGTGAAAATTGGCATATTACTAAACGAAAAAGTCGTCCGGTCCGATTCATCTTTCAGCAGCATTCATCCTTCGGAAGAATATAATAAATTTCATGAAATTATCTCGAACATTGCGATTGAACACAAGAACAGGCAGACATAACACGAACCGGCGGAGAAACGGACCGACGACAGACTAGGTTAGGTCGGTTCACGAAGCGACTTTGAACCAAGGTACGTATACATCAAGTGCCTCTGGAGCTTACGTATTCCCGAACACACTTAATATACCATATACCATGAGTGGTATAGAACATAAAAATTATTAATGTTTTTTAGGCATTTACACAAATAATATGAAATTCCAATTTTTTGCTTGCCCATTCCATGAACATCTATTTTCGTTGCAGTACACATAATTAACGGTATCATGAATGAGACAAGAATTGTCCTGGCTAACCTCAAAACTTGCCTTAAGTGCTGCTTTTATATATATATATATATGGACTTTATTATTAACGCTCATTATTGCAGATTCAGCATATTTTCGTGGGAACCATTCCTACTACTCGTTTGGCTACTGTACCATTTTTTTTCGTGGACACCATTGTATTGTACATAGATTGAGTTCTCTTGGATGAGTATTTCATGATAGTAACATATCTTCTCGAAATGGGATTAGCTAAGATATACAGCATTTGGCCGTATTCTTCCAATTGCTCATTACTATCATTTCTTGCTCAGTTTTCGTAATGATCAGTACGTGCGCAGTTTTTCCAATAATTTTGGGATCGCTTTTTTTATACTATCCGAATTGCTGTATACTATGACATGACTTCAAAGAGATTGAAAATACTGCGTAAGAAGTGAAAAAGATCCGATAGCTTTGTAGAAGGACTATTTAATGATATTGCAACACTTTCGCTGTAAAAGGCATTATAAAGTTTGCAGCTCTCTCATTTTTTATTGACGTTGATACCGTGCGAGGAAATGCAGGGAACGTAGACTTGATTTTTGCTTTCTTTAGACTTAATAATATGTAAACAATTTTTATTTTGATTTTATTTGTTTTTCATATTCATTTTCAATCAAAAAAATGCTTCCATTTGATATTAAAATAACTTAAACACATTCCTTTGCAAATGGCTTAAATATTCATTCTAGGGATAAGATCGTATGGCAACCATACTCGCGAAACGTAACCGTTTTGCAATGGCAATCCCGCTGAGTTTTTCTTCTAAACTGCAAAAAACCACGAGTCGCATTCAAAAATTTTTAAGATTATTTATCAATTAATTTAGAAAATACGAAGGAAAACATTTTCTCCAACTGCATAAAACTTACAATAAATTTAAAACCATTTTCGTTTTTTTATTATTTACCCTATAAGGAATATTTCTAAAGTATTAAAACAACAGTAATAGTTGATACGCGAATATCAATAAAAAATAAAAAAAAAGGAAAAAAAAAATAAAAAACAACAATTGCAATTGTGTTGCAGTCAATAGCAGCGCAGACTCGCCAACAACAAAAAAGCACGAGGTTTTCAAACAGAAATAATTAGTAAAATATATACGAAAAATAAATACGAAGGAACATATAGTTTTAATAACAGTTACTAACTAAAATGGTGCCTATAGGACCCGTGCATGCCGGCCACCCCGGTGTGCATGCTCCCCAAGCGATACCGTCGGCACCAACTGGACCGAACACGTTGCAAAGTTCTTCATCAAGCAATGCACCAACATCCAATAAAAGTTCAATGTCGGTGGTAAGTTGATATAAGAATGTATGCGTAGAATAAAATGATCCTTTATAGATTTTTTGTTTATAACGATAGAAACCCAATTATACGTTGAAGTTTACTTTGGCCGGCCATACAAAAGCAGTGTCAGCCGTTAAATTCAGCCCCAATGGTGAATGGTTGGCTAGCTCATGTAAGTTTTCGTGTACGCGTTTAATACCTTACGTTTAATAATAATTCTTTCGCGCATTTAATTATTATAAAGCGGCCGATAAACTCATTAAAATCTGGGGAGCTTACGACGGAAAATTTGAGAAAACCATCTCCGGCCATAAATTGGGCATATCTGATGTAGCTTGGTCTTCCGATTCTAGATTATTGGTGAGCGGTAGTGATGATAAAACACTAAAAGTGTGGGAGTTAAGCTCTGGCAAGTGTCTAAAGACTTTGAAAGGACACTCTAACTACGTCTTTTGCTGTAATTTCAATCCCCAGTCAAACCTCATCGTTTCCGGCAGCTTTGATGAATCGGTACGCATTTGGGATGTGCGCACCGGTAAATGTCTGAAAACTTTACCCGCCCATTCCGATCCCGTATCAGCGGTACACTTTAATCGTGATGGCTCGTTAATTGTAAGCTCGAGCTATGACGGCCTGTGTCGCATTTGGGATACGGCCAGTGGTCAATGCTTGAAAACTCTAATAGACGATGACAATCCGCCGGTGAGTTTTGTAAAATTTTCACCTAACGGTAAATACATATTGGCCGCAACTCTCGATAATACCTTAAAATTGTGGGACTATTCGAAAGGAAAATGCCTGAAAACGTACACTGGCCATAAAAACGAGAAATATTGCATATTCGCCAATTTCTCAGTAACCGGCGGAAAGGTATGTAGATCTAAACTTCCCAATTAATTATGCACGAAAATTTTTTGTCTTTGTTTTTTTTATTTGTAGTGGATTGTTTCAGGAAGTGAAGATAATATGGTTTATATATGGAATTTGCAAAGCAAAGAAGTAGTACAAAAATTACAAGGCCATACTGATACGGTATTATGTACAGCCTGCCATCCCACTGAAAATATTATCGCTTCGGCCGCTTTAGAGAACGATAAAACCATTAAATTATGGAAGAGCGATACATAACTTTCTCAACAGCGATCAAAGGCAAACGTCATCTTTCTACAGATATATATACACATATATATATATATATATATATAAATATGTATTTTATTAATTTTAACGTTCTTTTCTATAAGAATAAATTAAATTTTTTTTAAATTTGCTAATTATATTAAATGTTGGCGAAGCTGTGCGTACTTAATGCAATGTAAAGTAACGTAATGTTAAGTAAATGCTTGGGTCGCACCATGTCTTGCATTTATAATTAAAATCGGTTTATCTTTCTCAATCTTTTAAAGATTTTAGTATGTTCCATATAACTAAACGCAGTAATGCTTTCGTCGCAAACGTTTGCAAAAATGTCTTAAAAATCAATCTTTTTGTAATGTCCAAGTGACTCCGTCTTATTTAACCGCTTCCATCTTCTTCAATACTTCATTTTCGATAATAGAGAGAAGCCGAAAAGTGATCAAGTCTCCTTTCTAGGACATATGTCCCGGCAGTTTCCCATTTTCCTTTTATAAGAACTTTATTTTGCTTACGGCAAAAGTGGTAATGTGACCATTTTTGGAGAAAAGCGAAACAAACTCCTTTTGTCTGCGTTGCCTGAACGCTTAACATTTGTTAGATTAGCTAGATTTTTGAACACTCTCTGCATCAATTAACTATTTTATTCCGGATCGAAATGTATATCAACTTACCCCTTGCAACATTTGATGGGCCTTTTGGGCTTTTGTTCAACTATTCGGCGTCTAACGAGCACACAATTGTCTTTGACTTGCAAGCAGCTATGCAGAGTCTTTTAAATATTGACAAACAAAATTATACATTACAAAATTATACATTACACCATTGTTTTCTTTATTTCAGCGATTTATCGGTTCTGGCTGTAACTAAACGAAAATCTATCCTCAAATGAATTGTCCGTTTACGGACTGTTTACATATGTGTTTTGAAACATGCATACAAGTATGCATAGATATTTTCAAATACACCAAACTTTTTTTTTTACGCGACTTTGAAATAATACGGTTCACCAATAAGAAGAGAACAAATACCCTTTTTTACGCGAACTTTTGATTCTAGCACGAAATCCCAAAAAAAATTTGTTTATTCATCACTTAAATCAAACCGGACGGTTGTGCTAAACATGTCTGACATATCTACTGATGATAGCATTTTTGCTTTAATCAGTAATCATCGTGCACGGCCTTTGTCAAGTAGCGATGAATGGTTGCGAAATTGATTTTCATTACTAATTTCAGTCTAAATTTTTATGTATTATACTTATGGACTGAATTTTCACTATACTTAAACTGTAATTTTTTTTTCTTCTTTTTTGTAATAAAAATGAATATTTTTGTTTTATAAATATGTAATACAGAAAGATATTTAGACTTTTTTCACCTTAGACGATTTTTTAAAATTATGAAGCATATCTCCAAGCTTACCATATGTCGCATGTATCCCTCTTCAGGATATTTTTTTTTGCACTTTCTAGGGACCTTTCTAAGGAACATATTTATATGTAAAAAAAGAGTTGGGTGTATATACAGTATATGCATTATATACACATCTGAAAATCACCATCATTTCGTGATTTCCATGCAGCAGAGCACATGCAGGGCAGGAAGGAGAGGCAGGCAAACACAAAGGTTATTGTATAATTCTAAAATATTTACTTTGAAGGCGTGTTATATTATAAAGCCTCACACCTGCTTCTTTCTTCTTTTCATTTGCTCTGCATTTCATTCCTTATCCACATGAGACTGTTTAAGAACAAACAGCTGTTGTTGATTGTTGTAGATGCTCATTGGCTCAATTTTAAAGCCATGTTAACCATAGTGTATGAACGTGCCGATACGGCTGATTGCCTAAAAAGCTGAGGTAAACTTATGTTTTGTATTTAATGTGAAAAATTGCCTCTATAAACTAAAACTTGGCGAAGTTGGCCATTAACGGCTGTTATACCTGGCAAAGTTGCATCGCAAAATTTCAACTCAATTGTCATTTTCAGCCCCTGTACCTTTAAAACGTTTTTTATATATTTTTATTTTATATTTAATGGCACTGGCCGAGCGCTTCATAAGAATTTTTTGGATCACAATTCACTGAGGGGTTGTTTTCATAAGGCTTACCATAAATAAAATACTTTAAAAACGTTTATAAAATATTATGTTTGACCCATAATAATATACTCGGGCCGAACCGTAGTCATGCAATCAAAAGAAAGGTTAGGCAGAAGTCATACACGTAGTAAAATTAGTATTAAAAAAAATACTTTTTCGGTTATAATAATAAAATTAATTTTTTTTTATTATTGATTTCTTTAATTTTAATTAATCTTAATTAATAACCGAGTCACTAAGACCTCCTAATTGAATTGTCCTTGTGATGTTACCTAAATCATTCTTCGTATTTTTGTTACATTTACCGAATTTTTCCGAAAAATGCGCTCTTCTTTAGTTACAGTTCTGGTTATGGTCGTTGGAATTCCCGCTAATTCGCGTATACTGCATCTGTAGCAACGAGTTTCAAAAATTAAAAAAAAGAACCAAAAAATCGGAATATATAAACGCATGTATTACATAAATCCGACGTCAATCACCATCCAACCTCTTTATAGGTTCATCTTTTCTGAATCTACATCAAAACATTATTTGTTTCGCGCGATAAATAATTCCAAAAACATGACCAAACAGGAAACAGCCGCTCCGAAAAAGTAGGAAATTCGTTCGGGGCTATCTTCCCTTTTATTTGATAAGAAATTATAGGAAAATATTTGTGAATATAGACAAATCACATATGGTTCGAAAAATATACACGACCAAAGGCATAAAAAACAACGATAACAAAAAAGTAAATAAGAGCCTATTAAAACCGCAGTCAAGATAAATGGTTTTCAAAGAAAGAGCATAGAGACGGGCTTTACGGACGAAGCTGGACAAGGCAAAGGGATTGTTTAGCGAGGATGCGAAGAGCAGATATTAGATCATGCTAGCTTTTCAAACTCGTGATGCTGTCAAAATTGGTTTACAAACTGTCGGATAGATCAGCTTGTCTGAAACCAGCCAAATAAACATTCAACCCAGTCATCCATTCTAGCTAAATGTAGCGTTTCTTCACGCCCGTATAAACACTTCTACAAATTTCAACATCATTTAAATGCTCGAGTATTCACTGCGATTTCTTCGAAATTTTCCTGACGCTAGACACAGTTGTTCCCTTTCATTTTGCGATTTTGAATTATGATCCAGATCAGTTGGGGCAACGTGCGTAACACGATTAAAATGTTTCGCAGTTGTATATTTAACAGTTCGCAACATATACGGGTTCTTATTAACCTGTGTCATTTGCCTTATTGCCCCGCAAATCTGAATTTATTTTATCTATTTATTTCTTTTTTTTTTTTGATTGTAAAACTAAGCATATATTTTTTTATAAATAAATAAATGCAAAACCGGTTCTATAAGTTGATTTGTGACTTGTCAAAACTTGAACGCATTGTGTGCAATGCAATTCGAATGCGTTTCGAACTAAAACGTCGATGTGTATGTGTTGGTAGGCTGCGTTGTCAAGCATGCCTTTTAAAAAAGTGACGCCTATATGTGTTCCATCTGCTCGCTTCATTGTCATTGTTTTTAGTGGAGAGTTGACAACACAAGTCCACGTGAAATTTTATCATTTGGCGAAATTTTTAGCTCAGATTTCCTTAAACTTTTATTTGTATAATTGAAAATATTCGTTTATATTTCTATTCTTTACATTATAAATTGATTTTTATTTAAGTCATGTCGAAAAATCGAAATAAAAACAAAAAAACTGAATTTGATGATTATGATAACGAAAATGAATTGAAAAAACCAAGTGATAAAAAAAGCAAGAAAAGCAAACGTGGTGGCGGCGGATCTGAAGACGAAGATTTCTCCTCCAATAAGTTTATGAAATCAAACACGAAACCGGAAATTGATGACTTGGAGAGTATAACATCAACAAACAGCAAAACCAGCTCGATTAAAACGTCTAAGAAAGGGAAGAAAGGTAAAAAAAGTAAAGATGATGAGTGGAGCGACGAGGAGAAGTCAACTGTAAACAAAAAGAGAAACAATCTAAGACAAGCAGCCAGTGATCAGGACGATGAGGAAGAAATTTTAGCTCCCGTAAAGAAAGTTAATAAAAAATCCGGAAAAAAAATTAAAAAAGATGACTGGAGTGATGAAGATGAGGAGGAAGGTGAAGATGAGGGGCCACAACAGCAGAGAAAAGCGAAGAAAAACGCGCGACGAAATATGAGTGACGATGATGATGATGTCGCAAAAAATGATGAGGATGAACAATCTATCACAACCAAGCCAGTGGCGAAAAAACAGCAACAAAAAAAATCGAAAAGAAATAAAAAGAAAGATAATTTCAGTGAAGATGAGGACGATGTTGGAGATATTTTAAAAAAAGTACAAGAAGATGGCCGCCAAGACAATGACGAGGACGATGGCGAGGAGGAAGACGAAGAAATGCCTATTATTACTCAGCTAGCTGCCAAGAAACAACAAAAGAAAATGCAGCAACAACAAAAAAAGAGCAAATTTGAATTCAGCGATCATGAAGAAGAAGACGAAGAAGCTGAAATCCTTGAACAAGAATTAGCTAACTTGGAAATAGAAGAAAAACTAGCGTTAGACGAGAGCGATAAGAATGATTCAGTTTTAGAAAATCAATTAAATGAAGATAATGAGAGAAAGTTGATATCGGAAAAATCGGAGGATGAAAACGAAAAACCAGCGGCTGAAACAGAAGAAGACAAGTTGAAGGAAAAGAAGCTCACGCATAAAGAAAAGAAAAAACAAAAGAAACAGCAGGAGTATGAAAAACAAATGGAATTGTTAACTAAAAAAGGCGGCTCTGGGCATTCTGAGCTAGACAGCAATTTTACTATGTCTCAAGTGCAGAAAAGTGCAGGCCAAAAAGCCCAACTTGAGCACGCTGTGGATATTAAAATTGAGAATTTTACCATATCAGCAAAAGGTAGGTTAACTCCCCATACTGGTTCAAAGATAAAATTTATTAAATATGTTAGTATATCATAGGTAATGATCTGTTTGTTAATGCCAATTTACTAATCGCTCATGGCCGCCGTTATGGTCTGGTGGGTCCGAATGGACATGGAAAAACCACTTTGTTGCGTCATATAGCCATGCGTGCCTTCGCAATACCGCCCAGCATAGACGTTTTGTTATGCGAGCAAGAAGTTGTAGCAACAGATAAAACTGCTGTGGAAACCATTTTAGAGGCCGATGTTAAACGACTTGACTTATTAAATAAATGTCAAAAGTTGGAAGAACAATTTGCGTCCGGAGATATGAGCATCCAAGAGGAATTGAATGATACTTTTAATGAATTAAAAGCAATTGGCGCTTACTCAGCTGAAGCCAGAGCACGTCGTATCCTTGCAGGTTTAGGTTTTAATGAAGAAATGCAAAATCGGGCCACTAACAAGTTTTCCGGCGGTTGGCGAATGCGCGTTTCTCTAGCAAGAGCTTTGTATCTTGAGCCCACTCTCTTAATGCTGGATGAGCCAACTAATCACTTAGATTTGAATGCTGTTATTTGGTTGGACAATTATCTGCAAGGTTGGAAAAAGACTTTACTTATAGTTTCTCATGACCAAAGTTTCTTAGATAATGTTTGTAATGAAATTATACACCTGGATCAAAAGAAATTGCATTACTATAAAGGCAACTATTCCATGTTTAAGAAAATGTACGTACAAAAGCGTCGTGAAATGATCAAAGAATACGAAAAGCAAGAGAAACGAATCAAGGAACTTAAGGCTCACGGTCAGTCAAAGAAGCAAGCAGAGAAAAAGCAAAAAGAAACTTTAACTCGCAAACAGGAGAAAAACAAATCGAAGCAGCAGCGCCAACAAGAAGATGAAGAGGGCCCCGTCGAATTACTGGAAAAGCCCAAGGAATATATTGTCAAATTTCGGTTCCCTGAACCCTCACAGTTGCAACCTCCCATATTGGGGTTGCATACTGCAACTTTCGCATTTGAAGGCCAAAGACCCTTGTTTGTGAACGTAGATTTTGGCATTGATCTATCGAGTCGGGTGGCTATTGTGGGTCCCAATGGTGTTGGAAAATCAACGTTCTTGAAACTTTTGTTGGGTGAATTGGATCCGCAAAAAGGAGAAGTTCGAAAAAATCATCGATTGCGGATTGGTCGTTTCGATCAGCATTCTGGGGAGCATTTAACTGCTGAAGAATCGGCGGCTGAATATTTGCAGCGTCTATTTAACTTACCGCATGAAAAAGCGCGTAAAGCTCTAGGTTCTTTTGGCTTGGTAAGCCATGCGCATACCATTAAAATGAAAGATTTATCCGGTGGTCAAAAGGCCCGCGTAGCTCTAGCTGAATTGTGCTTGAGTGCTCCTGACGTTCTTATACTTGACGAACCTACGAATAATTTGGATATCGAATCTATCGACGCTCTTGGTGAGGCCATCAACGAATACGAGGGCGGTGTGGTAATAGTATCGCACGATGAACGTCTTATACGTGAAACAGGTTGTGCTTTATATGTGATAGAAGAGCAGACGATAAATGAAATTGACGGAGATTTTGATGATTACCGCAAAGAGGTACTAGATGCTCTTGGCGAAGTTGTCAATAATCCCAGTGTTGTTGCTAATGCTGCAGTGCAGTAATGTGTTCCGTTTCTAAACATAGAGTCCGCTAATGTATGTGTGTGTAAATGTGAATAGTCAAATTTTTTTTCTCGCTCATTTCGTAGTTAATGTTAAAAAATATAGAAAATCCTAAAAGGCACACATAGTCGTATTAACACAGGCAAAATAATTTGGTGCGCTCACCGACATTAGCTTTTTTAAAGCTTGTCATGTATATCAATTATGTTTTATTTCAAATTATGTAATTATAGACATTGTTAAAGTTCAAATGGAAGAAATATCTGCGAACAGCGCGGAAAAAAATTTATTTTATCTCATGCGATAAAGGTAAGGAAGGTATTTTAGGCGATCTCTTTATTTTTTGCGAAATAGTGCTGCCTGCTTAGTTGTCCATGCATTGTTGTCGCCAATAATCATTTCAAATCTGCCGTTGACAACATTCTATTTTACAGGCTATATGACTCCTTTATTCTAACGTAAAAATTAACAGCCGCACATAAATATTTTCTATTGTAGGCCTTACTCATTATAATAATAATTTAACTCATTTTGGACATATCGCTACTTCTAGACATCGCTGGCAAGTTTCATTTTTTTGCTCTTAGGGTTCTACCTACCGCATAACTGAATACAAAAGCGTAAGCTGGAGGTAATACCGTATCGGAAAATCAGCTACGTTTTTGTCCTTCCTCTGGTTTGAGATCGCATATGGGATAGTATTCAGTATTGGTTGATGACCATTGCTGTTTTGGGATCGCGTAGGCGCAACAGCTGTGAAATACAGTCATATTTTTCGAGTTATGCGAAAGCAACAGAGCTTACTGTTCGCATTAGTATTAGTTGTTCATGGTTGCATTTATAAGAGAACGCAGCTGTAAATTGAAAACAAAATAATTTTCGAACACTATCATTAACTTGCAAACCAGACCAAAAATTAAAAAAAAAATGTAATTACAAAATCAAATTTATTAATCAAAGAAGTTTGAGTGTGCCGCGAAACAAAAATTGGAAAAAAAATTTTTTTCCTTTGAGATTTTTGCGAATTTGTTTTGATCGGGCATGTAAGCCACATATTTTATTGGCAATCTCAACAAACGAAAATAAATAAGTAAATATATTTTTGAATTTGTGAAAAGTAAATAATATACTGTTAAATGTTAATAAATAATCCTTTTTGGTTATCAATATATAAATATTAGGCAGAATGCTTGGACGCATAATTTTATGGAAGAAAATCGAACTTCATAACAGAGAATTGCTGGGAGAAGAGCTCTGCGGGAGAAGAGCTTCTCTTACACTGCCTGAAAACTTGTAAAACCAATCGAAAGTAATGTAGCGTCAACACTCACTATAAATTTTTATTATTTCTATTTTATTAATATCTATTTCTTTATTTCATTAATAATTTTCATAATAGAAATAAATATATGTATATATTAAATGTATAAATAATAAATATGTAAAAATTTAGAAAATATTTGCCTTTATTAAATAATGACAATGATGCTCGCAACCCTATTATGTTTTAATGTATATACATTATTTACAATTGCGATCATTTTTCCCATAATTAGGTCAACTAGAAACAATAGCGACTTATGCAAAGGTTAACAATTCATCTTATTCAACTAAAACAAAAAAAACTATTTAAGGCATAGAAAGACGATACAGAAGATTGTCATCAATCTCTTATTTAAATCCTTTTCTGTCCAATAGATTAAATTCTCGTTTCAATCGTTATCAGCACTAGACTTTCAATTTGCAAACTTTTAAATGTGGCCGTCGGAGCATAAGTAAGTAATCAATGTACATACTTCGCTATAAGATTTCTTATCATCATTGCGTCATCAAGCTAAACGCACAAACATGTAGATGTGTTGTTTTAAGAAATAATACAATTGTTAGCTTCGTTAGTTTAAAAAATGCAATTTATTTCCATTTCATATAAATTTGATCTTTCCGTTCTATTTTGCAAAACTATATGAAATATATGTGAAGAGTAAGCGTATAATCAATTTTTAAAATGTTTTTTTCCTTTTTCGGCAATTTATTCGCCAAATACTTGTCCACTTCTTCATTAATAGTTGATTGGTTTGTTTATTTATCAGAGAGGAGAACCAGGTGTTGCATTTCGAATTTTGACAGACGCAATTCAATATAAATAATAATTTTTTTTCTGCGTTTTCATTTACATATAAATGATGGTAACGAAATTCACACGGAAGTCTTACGCGATCGGGACCAAAACGTTTATCAATTATCGGCTTAGTCGCAAACGAAAGTTAACTTTTAGAGACGTGATTACCCTACAAAATTTTTCATACGTGATTACTCCCATTGTTTTACACTCAGAAAACCCTGGGAAAGAGAGAAAAAAAATTGAGAGAGGATCACTTTTTAACAATATCATGAATATTGAATATCTTGAATATCATGAATATAAATCTAAGCAATTTTTTGATTTTTTTCAGTCGTTTTTTTCTCTTCCAAAAAGTTAGTTAGAATATTGAACAAATTAAGATGTGTACATTTTCTGTCACCAAAGTTTGTGCGAAACAATATACGTAAATATATGTAATAATACTAGGAGAAAAAAAACACTTAAATACCTTTACAATTGATTCTTCTTTTTATAAATTTTACGTGCTTTGCTTTCTCACTTTCAAATACATATGTACATGTTTATGTCAATTCTATGGATGCAGACATACAGATACGTACGAAAAAAGAACTAAATTCATACTTTTATAATTCGTATTGGTGCTGCCAATTGTAAAAAAATTTCATATTAGAAACAAAAAAATTTTGGAAAGATTATAGATAATTAATGTTCATTTTTTAAATTTTCTCAGTTGGTTTTTTTTCGCTGGCAACGCTGGTAAAAGTCTCTTTGAGTGCTTATTAGAAATAGTGAACGGATAAAGTTGGGGTCGTGCCAATGAATAGTGGTAGCGATCAAAAGCAGATTTTATTTTTCTAATACCTCTTAATCTATAAACAAACAAAGAAAAAATTTAATGTAAAAATTTCCATATCGCAAAATTAAATTAAGTGATAAAAATTTTCGTAAGCCTTATGCAAAAAATGAATTTTTAAATTTTGGAATAAAGAAAAATAATAAACATAGGATAACAGCAATAGAATATTATGATTTTCAAACGATTGCATTCATGGTTTTGGCGTGCATAAGGAATAACAAAAATTACGCGAGATAAAGTGTTAAGACAGAGAGAGAGAGAGTGAGAGAAACTAAAGAAACAAACAATGGAACAAATCCTGCCGTTTGCAACAATAAAAGATGCAAAAGATGAAATTATAGAATCACTGCATACTGTAGATATTGTAGACGGAATTGACACAGCGACCTCATCGCCAAAGAATGTTGAACGAATACGTTTGCCGATTAAGGGTATGACTTGCCAGTCGTGCGTGCGTAACATAGAAGGACATATCTCAAATAAGCCAGGCATAGTAAAGGTCAAAGTGGAATTGCAAGAAAATGCTGGCTATTTTGATTATGATTCTACAATAACAGATGGTCAACAAATTGCCGTTGCAATCGATGATATGGGCTTCGACTGTCAATATGAATTGGATGGGCAAAAAGACAGTTTACCGCAGGAGTGTGCGGTGGAGGTGCTGGGTATGACCTGCCAATCCTGTGTTAATAATATAGAAAGTAATATTGGCAGTAGAGCAGGAATCTTAAAAATCGTTGTGAACTTAGCGCAAAAAAATGCCGATGTTCTTTATGATCCCGCACAATTATCTCCAGAACAAATAGTTGAAATGATCGACGATATGGGCTTCGATGCCAAAGTAAAACAAAAGTCAAGCAATAGTCCCAGATCTATGCACCGCGAAACGTCAACGAAAACTTCAGTAAGTTGCAAATCTTCTACGCCTACAAAATGTGTCAAACAACAGGTGTCGTCCGGTAACACTAAGACCTCCCCAATTAACGGCCACGCAACTATTGTATCAGTAGATGAGGAACTCTTATCAAAATGTTTTCTTCATATAAGGGGAATGACTTGTGCTTCGTGCGTGGCAGCCATAGAAAAACATTGCCGAAAGATTTATGGTATTGATAGTGTATTGGTGGCTCTGTTAGCAGCCAAGGCTGAAGTTAAGTACAATGCCAATGTCATAACACCAGAAAATATTGCTAAATCTATAACAGAATTAGGATTCCCTTCTGAAATAATCGACGAACCGGAAAGCGGTGAAGTTGAAGTGGAAATTGAAATTCTTGGCATGACTTGTGCATCATGTGTTAATAAAATCGAAACGCACGTTAGTAAATTGAAAGGCGTTACTAATGCTTCCGTCACTCTCATGACAAAACGCGGTAAGTTTCAATTGCAAAACCATGTCTTCCACTGCTATTATTACTATTATTATTATTATTATTATTACTATTATTTAGGAATATAAATCGTTAAGTTTAAAAGTAATTCATATCTTTTATCAAACAGAGTAAACAAGTTTTATATAAATTTTTTTTTCATTTTAAAAAAATTTCAACATATTTAAACGTGGTATAATTTTTTGTAATTCTCCTTTTGAACTATTGCAAACAATGAGACTCTCTTTTGAGAAGTCACAATAAATGTATTTGCAATTTCTACAACAAAAAAAAGCAAACACAACTGCATTGCATTTGAACTCAATCCCATGGTATACGTTAGCTTCTTAAGACCTTTAATTGATTTTTTGCTCCAAGTTTTAGTTTACAACTTTGCTGGCTGACAGGCGGTGGTAGACTTCGATTTTTAGCTTTTCTCTTAAATTTTGCAACAGCGCTTTAATCGCTTCTACCTAATAATGTCCGCAATGGCGGCCCATTTTGATTACATTTGGAGAAATGATACCTAAAGTCGGCCTGAAGGCTATGATAAATAATGTGATAAAAGGTATAGGACACCTTTTGGTGCCAAATTGCTATTTACTTGCCTTTAAATCGTACGTTAGGTATACAAGCAGGACCTTGGACTACCAACGAATTTTCATTCATTTTAAGTTTTATTTGCTTTTTTTTGGTTTAATTAGTTGTTTAATTAGTTTATCGGTTATTTGTTCTTGTTTAATTTAGAAATGTATACTGAAGACTAGACTGTACTCTTATTGTTTGTTTATTTTTTTTTAATTTCTCTATGCGGAACATTTCATTAATTTGATTATGAATGAAAGCATTTTTTGTGTGAAAGAACGTGACTGGAAAATTCCAGGTTGATAATATCTTTAAATATTTACATATATAAGTACATAAGAAGCGCACACAATAATAAATAAAAAAAATAAATAAAAAGTATTTCCTAATGTATCAGCAGACAACAAGAAATTAACCGAAACTCCATTACTCAAGTCAAATGGATTATTACATTACCCGGCACTAGATTAAGCCTATTTATAGGAAAATAATTTCTTTTGTGCTTGAAAATTTTCTATTCTTAAGCCATCGCTGTTAAAAAAAATTGTCTCTTATCAGCAACACTTGTTGGTACTAATCGCATTTTTTTTTTGTAGAAAATCATTGCAATTCAATAAAAATAAGTTAGAACACATTGGCAGTAACTGACTTTCTTAGATACATGTACTTATATGAACATATAAAGGCTTACGAATTTGGATGGCCTCACCAATCCTGAAGCAGCAAAAAAGAAAGAAAATGGATGTGGGCCATTCTCTCTCAAGGTCTATATCAGTTACTTCGGGATATTATCTGGAACAATCCTATTTTTGGGCGCGATGACCCTTGTGTGCGCCAACAATTTCATGATTTTAATTTTGTGTGATCTCGCGCAAGACAACCAAGTACACTATCCTTTCTCGAGAAAAGAATGCTTTCAAGTACGTGATCATACAGCACAGCCCCAACTGCACTCCAGCCCACATAAATTTCAATGTCCATCAGAACTTGAGCAAGTTTCATGACATCCCTAAAGGAAAAAGAAATTTCGTTTTTCTATCGATACTTCTCTTAGGCTTCCAAATCGCGGAGTTATAGATAGCAAAACTTAAGCCCTCCTTGGCCGTTGACTCAGCAGCTCTCACAAATATGAATTTAAATAGCAACAGTCAACGTTTATAGGGAGCATCACGAAAAGGTGAGGGTTTCCGTGCGTCTACCAGCCTCCGAAAACGAACGTAACTCCTGTTCCTTGTGTTTCTCTTGTTCACAAAGATATGTCTAAATAGGCGAGATTGAGAGGCTGACGGTGATTTTGTAATGTGAATAGGCGGTAATATGAAGATGAGTTAGAATTACGGCGTTGTTATAATTTCTTGATACAATCTCAAACGTCAGCATAAGAATGGACAGATTCGGTCAACGTCAACTATTTTGTAAATATAAATCGGTTCCGGAAATTTTGAGTTTAGGTAACTGGTACGTTGGCGCCTTTACAGTATAAGTTTCAGTTCTTCGCAGTTAAACTGCGAAGAAAATGTATCTGAAGCAATGGAAATGGTTAAGTTGGTTAGCTTGGAGTGAAAACGCAGCAAGCCATCAAAAAGTTAGAAAGTATTCAGCGGAATTTCGTGCAAAAAATTCTCCTCTTAAAAACGATGAAAACTCGGATATCGTCCGTCCGTCTCCAGTGAATACAATGCAGCAGGACGGTGTGTTCTCCAGACTTGAGTCACTTCGTGCTAGAACTGGTTTACGTCGATGAAATTATATTTAGCGGGTCAGCAGGCCGGCAAAGTTGAAGACGTGCAAAAATAGATCGATGGCTGTTTCACCTCGGTACCACGAAGTTACCAATTGGAAATCCTTATCCCGCAAGTATAGGGTTTTTGTTGGATTCTTCATCCGAAACTAAGATCAAATTGACCAGCGCCATATACACTTCTATTTGGGCCGATTAAAAACATCCACATCCGCCCATCTGTCGTTGTAGCAAATCACAAGCAGGCAAATATTGTTTTAGGCGATGACTGGCCAAGCGAAATTTGTAACTGATATGTGAGTTCCTTACCATCAAATACATACCTTCAACCCTTTAACGGACGCTTGTATGAATTATGCAAGGTTTCAGTGAAAAAATAGTCGAAATCCCCAGACAAAGATTGACAAAAGAGAAGAGTATACAATTTAAAGCCTATAAGGACTATTGATTTAAAGTCCGGCACAGGTGTTTTCTTTATAAAAATGATTTCTATTGATCAGTTAATACGCTCACATTTAAGCTAAGTTAAAATCTTTACAATTCCAATTTATTGCTTTAAGGTGGGGTTCATTCCAAAGTGAACGATACTGTGTCTTTTTTACTTTTTTTCTACTCAAGTCGACATTCGCTCGTTTAAGATATGCACATGTATACATTAGGAAAGCTTGCGCAAAACAAATCTTTATGTATTTTTGTTTATATCGCCAAATATTTGTTTATATAATACTGTGTGTGTGTGTGTGTGTGAACGTGTATGCTTAAATGTATGAAAAATAGCTTTTGTAAAGTGCTTAGCAGCATATACCTCTAAAACAGGAATTGTGCGATTTTGTTTAATTTTTAAATTATATATATATATATACATATGCTGAAGTCGGTTAGCAAAAATCAAGAGAAGAAAAAAACTCGCTTTAGAGTGATATATGGCATCTTAAACCCGTTGGTTTATTGAAAACTGAATTGAATATCATTCAGAGCACTGCACTGCTACACACGCCAGATCATTTATTGAAATTTTCAATTTTCTATTCAAAGATCGTCTTGTAAATGTCTTCTTAGCTAAAACAACCGCGAAGTTTATGTTCAACAAGTATAAAATGATATAATATTGCATATGTATAAAAAAAAGGACTATAATAACTAAATCTTTATACTATATAACATGGGCGTGGCTGATTTTTTCTATTTTCAGAATAAATTTATATGTTGTATGCGTTGTTCTTTATGTCTAACTAAAAAAAAAAACACGGAAAACAAAGGCATTCACAGTTATCGTTGCAAAGACATGTTGGCTTTGTAGGCCAAAGGGCCTTCCAAAAGATTAGATCACTTCTAAACTCTTGTGCAAATTTGTACGCGAATCATTCATTCATTGCGAATGAGAGAATGTTTTATCGCAGATACTACACAGTTGGGCAGACGGACAGATGGACATGCTTAGGTGCCTTTCTGAGTTGAAATTGGCCGAGAATCTTGTTCTTGCGCGTTGTAAAGGTGTTGCAAAAAAAATTTTAATTTTTGATACACTACTATATTGATTAGGCGTGGCAAATTTTTGTACATTTATTTGCTCCCGTTAATGAATAATGGTTAAAAAAAACCGACAAAACAGAGATTTTCTCACTTTACGTGCCAGTGCAGGCTTGTCCTTCGACCCATTTGATCTGTTTTCAATATCAACCAATGTGCAAAAGCCTCTAATGCTTCTGCCATATTTGAGATCGATAGCTTCATTTTTGCGGTCAGAAGAATGTTTATGACAGACATTACACACAGGGACTGACATGCTTAAATCGATTCCGAATTTTATTTCGATCAAGAATATGGGTATATCTGCAATTCTTCGGTGATCGATATGAAAAACAAAAATCGAACAAAGAAGAATGATGAAGAATGGATGAATATAGAAATAAATAAGCTTCCAAGTTCCTATAAAAAAATTCAATCATTATTTCCACTTCCATTTTAACGTTTGGCGGTACAAGTCAAAGACTTTACGAACGACTTTACTTTTATATGCTTGATAATGATAAGATTAAGCCTCTAAGGCAATTACATCAAATCCCCTTCCCTTCGCTTGTATGCTACTTTTTATACGCTATATCACTTGTGGTACAAGCGTATATTAAGTTTGTGCGGATGTATGCATTACCTAGAAGAATTAGAATCACATTCTGAACCGATTTAAGTTTGTCTGGCCGTCTATTCGCCTCGGACAACTTTTTCGACCACTTCCCATTTAATCGCCCGTTTGAGGAGTAATTGTAAGGTGATGTAGGGTATTTAGTGGCGGGCAATGGCCTACTATAGCGATCTTGCTTATCGGAATTACTAAACAAGCGAGAAAATAGAAGTCAAGTTTCAAGTATTAGATATCGGTTGAAAGTTTCTTAACAGTTTATTTTTAAATTAAAATGTTATACCTACAGTTTTTGCTGGCTATTCAAGGTAAACTTCGTTTAGGTTTGTTCTTGCGATGGAAAAAAAAAATTAGGCAAAACCTCGTTTAACTGGCTAAAGACCTGATCGCAATTTCGATTATCTTCGGTTATCTTTAGTGTGAGTCAAAGTAATATTTCTCACATATGTTCATAACGTCTTTAGCAATACATATGACTAAGTAAAAATTCGTCTTGTTTAGGGCTTGAATTTTCAAATTTTAAAACTCCGATGCGTG